TTCACTTCTATACACCGATACTATCTATGATGGTGTATTTAAGTTTGATTACACAAAATAGACTTATAAATTGTATTTTCATTCTCAATTAAGAATTGATTAAAGAGATTTACATAAATCGATTTGTAGGTTTCATATTAAAGACTTCTATATTATTGTGATAACTTTACAGTTACACTTGTAGCCTAATACAGTCATCTTGACATTGTTAGTTGAATTTTAACGGGGTTTAAATCTTGCACAAAATTTTAACGGGGTTTAAATCTCGTACAAAATTTCATCACGTGGATGAAGTTTATTGTATTTGTGTAAAAATCTAATGGAAGGTTGTAATTTTAATTTTGATATTGATGACACTATATTGGCTAAATATGAGAATGAGTATATTGAGACCATTTTGAAATGGTTGTTCTTAATTTTTGAGATGAAAGACACGAGTTTAACAAATTGTATACTTTGTGTTAAGAAGATTATATTAGTCTTGTTTCTCTGTCACAAGATTTGTATACCATAACAATTCTAGAATTTTTTTAACAGTGGTCTTCATATTTGTCTAAGGACTCCATAAGTGCATAAAGAAATATTCAGAGAACCACATCTAGTGTGATTAAGAATTAGAAGTATGCTATGATGTATACTTGCCCTAACATTTGTCAGTTATGCCATGGATCTAGTTAGTAGGTATTGATGTTATCCTTAAAAATGGTATTTTGATACTTGAAAGGTACAACTGTTAGTTATTCTATTTTGTTGTTGAGAGAACAACTTGTTATTGGAATAGATATTCAAATGTCAACCAAAAATGAGAGTTAGTCATGCACAAATAGTTATTAAATTTGTGCAATCTTGTTATATCGAGAATCAAGAAGTATATCTTGTAGTATATATCTTGGCAGTTGAAGAAATTGTTTGGTATATATGTATTGGACATCTAATGATACTAGTTGAGAATATGAGATCCATGATAATTAAGCAATTATCTCATGTGTTGAGAGTCTCAAATATCATGATTAACCAAACACTCATAATATTTGATAAGTGTATTTTATACACTTATTTATGTTGTTAAATTAGAGCAATTATTATTATTTTAAATAAATTAAGGCTTAATTTTGTATATATTTTGTTTGTTAGGTGCATCTTAATGAAAAGCGATAGAATTAGACAAAATGAGCAGAAAATTGGCTAAAGTGGAATTAATCCAAAATGGAGGATCAAGAAGTATGAAAAATGGACCAAAATGACTAAAAATTCAAGGACCAAACTGTAATAAATAGAACTTTACTATAGGGGAGCGCGTACAAGCTTTTTTCTCGCGAGCGCAACGCCCTAGTGTCCATTTGTCTAGAGTAAACCCAATGGACAGCGCATGAGGGGCCATTTCTAGGCTTGAACGGCCTAACTTCCTCATTTGATTCAAATTCTTATGGAGACCAAATTCAACCTACTATTTAACCTACAAGGGGCTGCTAAAAAGATAGAATAGAGAAAAACCTTATTTTTCACCACAAGAAGGAGGTTAGCACGGGATCCAAAGGCAATTAATACAAGAGATTGAAGATTCAAAGTTCGGGTGGAAAATTAAAAAAGAAAAAATTGATTTTTCACTTTCTAATCATTGTTTTCCATTCCATGTTATTTTTTTCCAAAATTTTTTGTATACTTTACATAACACACTAGCTAATTCTTTTCATGTATTCGATAAAGATGCAATATTTTATTATTTATTTTTAATTTAAAACAAGTAATTAGTTAAATTCTTGATTTTCTTTATTAATCTTGCATGCGTAATTTTATTATTTGATTGCTTGATTACCAATTAAATACATAGTTACTTATTGTAGTGTTGAGAGACTCACAATAGATCTAAAATATTGCTTGATTAACATACATGCAATATATATTATGAATAATGTTTATTACATGTACAATTTTTGAGATAATTGTGAAATTGAATGCGTTCTATTTATTCGAATTCGGATTAGGAATAGATTCGGGCCATGACTAGAATAGATTTAAATTGTCTTGAAAAAAGAGAATTAATTACAATAGAATTATCGATTGTCAAGAATACATAAATGATATTAGCTACGTAATTAAGAATTGAAATAGATAATAATATGTGGAATTGTAATCCAATACACTTATTCAATATACATATAAAATTCGAATTTTACAAGTTTCTATAGATTAATTTAGAGTAATTACAAACCACAAATCTCTTTTATTCACTTAATTTGAATCTGATTAGAAACTAGTACACTTGATTAAATTTTATTCCTCGTGGGATGATACACATTACTCACCACGTATTACATATCAACGATCTCGTACGCCTGTGAATTTCAATCGAACAATATTTCTATAAGAGACATTAGCAAAGAAAGTTTCTTTGCAATATGTCTACTTAAATGATGGTCTGTAATTATCATACTCTAAAAATGTTTAGAGATATACTTGTTGGTAATGCCAAATTTCTAAAATTACGTAGAATAAGATATTTAGTGTATCCGAAAACTCTCGATTGAGTTTTATATGCCCGTAGATAAATAATTTTGAATTCATATGTAATCTATTGTTAGGATTACGAGATAATATTTTGCATGCACATATAAAATATATTAAAAATGTTGAGATTTGCTCATTCACATCACCTTGGATATTTTGGAGTGTGCTGAGATGAGACATATTAATCATGTTGTGTACATGATCTAGTCGTCTTGATGAGATATCAAGATGAGATTATAATAAGTATTCGATATGAATTTCGTGTCCATTAAAACTGTTTTATAACTAGATCGAGTTCTCGATTGGAGATTGTTTAGGGGAATAAATATAAGGAGAACTCAATTTAGGTATAGAGGAATACATGAATTAGTTTCTGTACGATGTTATTTGTTTATAAATTATATGACATATACCCTAAGAAATGCAGAAAATATCGTAAAACATGCTTCATACCACGTGTGCTTTTACGACCAATATTGGGTAAATAAGTGAATGGATCTCTGCTTCCTCATTACGTGAGACCTTTAGGTTTATATAGTCTTCTATGTGCTCTTATGACTTTTGACCGTTTATTGAGATTTTATTTCGGTGTTGTTACTTTAGTATGCTATCAATAACTATGATTGATTTGATGGGACATGTCTAGGAAAGTGTTTGATTTAAAGTTGAAAGATTCGAGTACGAAAGGAAAATTATTTTGACCAACATTTATTTTGTATTCACCGACCGGACAGTTGTGTTTAACCATTTAGGGTATAGGATAGAATTGTAAATAGAATGATAAGATATGAGGTTCAAGTATGTCCCATTAAAATACTTGAGGGGACAGAAATACTTGAATTAATGTAGAAAAATGAGTTTGAGTATAGCGAGATGTAATGTTCCTCTAGTAGAACTACTATATATCCCTAACAGGTTTATAGTACCGTGAACTTTAATACTACTCGATGGTCGTACGATCTATTTGTCATATGAATTTTTGTGAGATAGATCTTGATAAGGATCTTACGTATGACATTCGTTATCCCTTATGATTCGGATTAAACACATCAAGTACAAATTGGAAATGTTAAAAAATATGATCACTCATGTGGGATGACCCGACCCACAAGACATCAAAAATGTTGGATTGAGTTATTTGAATTTGGAATTCAAATTTACAGCTCCCGATAACCTCCATAAAACCTCCAATTCTATCTAGCAATGGGGAGAGAGGAAGATGGTAGAAAATAAGTGAAATTCATATGGAAAATCACTAAAAAATAAAAGTGTTCAGAACCACATATATGGCATGAAAACTCACAAAATTAGGCATTTCGATTGTGGATAATAATTACATTTCATTGTGATCGAGATTTGAGAGAATAAGAAAAAATAGATTTTGGAGTCTTGAAATGTAAGGTGATTCAATCACATAAGGATTTTGGAATTCATTATTTCAAATAAGAAACTTGACTCGAAATTCATGTTAAAGTATGTTTTGAATTACTTTATGTATGATGTGTATTCATATATAGTTGGTAAATTCAATCAAAATCCATTTTCCATTCATTTTAGTATTAGAAAATTTCGAGAAACCAGCTAGTTAACATGTGGATCATTACGTGCAAATCGTTATTCCTTTGGAATCCCTAAGGTTTAATTCTACCTTGTCTGTTCAAATATAAGATAAAAAGAAGAGACAAATGATCAACACATAAAGTCCACAAATTGTGTCAAAAAGCTACTTTTATGTTTTAACAATGATGAATTAAATGGATAAATCCTTGCTAAATAATGCAAAAAAGATAATATTCTTGAAAACTGTTACGCGTCAAGCATATCATGCATAATTAGGAAGTGGTCAAGAAGAGTAATGTTATTCATCCCTAGTGGGGATGAAAACACAGTCTATGTGGCATTAATGTGACATTAAATGATAGGTGAAATTAAATAAGTCATTTAATTTCACATTTCATTTAACCTATCATTTAACGCCACATGGACTGTGTTTTCATCCCCAGTAGAAATGAATAGCATTACTCAGTCAAAAATGAATGAAAGAAACCAACTTTCTTGAAATGTAGGCCCTTCATAGAATTTCAAATGATGGCTTATAGAAAGTTAACTTACTTTTTACAAATAAAATCATAAGTAAAAAAAAAAAAAGTAACTCTAGAAATTATGTTTGACAGAACGAAAATTTCCCTTCTTTTTCTACACATGCATACACGTAGCGAGAATATTAGATGGATCAGCAATAAAAAAACATGACAATATAATTAAACTCCACACAGTCGAGCATTATAAATACACACACATTGCTGCTTCTATGTACGTTTGCATAGTCTGCTCCTTTATGTTCCCCCTTCTTCCCCTCCCTGTAAATCTTCTGCCATTTCCATCTGAGAATCTCCAGTATTAATTAGGCCTCCACTCCCGTTTTTGCTTATCTTCTAGTTAGAATTTGTACTTATTTTTCATTATAAAAGAAGTGAAATTTTCTGGGCACAATGGATGAAGAAGTAAAACAGGTTAGTGGATCACTTCATCCAAATGCAGTTAATTTAAATGAAATTTATAGTTATCAATGTGGTTTTAATGCAAATACTTTTTTTAGCTGGAAGAAGCTAAACCAGAGGAAAAGAAAGAAGAGAAAATGGAGGAGGAGAAAGAAGAACCTAAGCCACCCTCCCCTTTGGTTTTGTTTGTGGAGTTGCATTGTATGAGTTGTGCAAAGAAGATAGCGAGGTCCAGTTTTAAGATTAGAGGTATGATGAATCCCATTGTCTGGGCCTAACACGTAGACAATTCTCAATTTTCAAGAATGAGCGACAACTAGAATCGAATTTGTTTGCCCTGATACCATATTGAACCACGTCGTCTAAAATCTCAAAGTTTTAGTGACGTGATTCAACGATTATCTTTAACACTAGTGCAAAATATTCTTATTGGTTGATCTTGACAGGAGTTGAGGGAGTTGTAATTGACATGGAGAAAAATCGATTAACTATAATGGGAGTTGTGGATGCTCAAGCTGTATGTGACAAAATCATCAAGAAAACGAAGAGAAGAGTCAAAGTTTTATCTCCATTGCCGGAATCAGTGGAAAAAACTATGCCGGAAGTTGTTGCTTCACAGGTCGAATAGAATAGACAAGATTTTAACTTTGAACTTTGAACTTCGAGTTTTATTTTATTTCCAGTCCTTAACGTTCTAAATTTTTCTGCCTCCAGGCCAGCGAATTAACTACAGTGGAGCTGAATGTCAACATGCATTGCTTAGCTTGTGCCCGGCAGCTTAAGAGAAAGATACTTAAATTGAAAGGTATCATTTTGTTACTCCTACTTTCCAAAGCCACAAAATATAGAAAAATAAATAAAATAGACACAGTTACACAGACTTAGCATATGTCTGGCCCCGCTTTTTCCTAGAAAATCGATTATTTGCAAACCAAGTGAGTTCTGTTTTGTTTCTTTAATGCAAAAACAATGGTCATTCTTCATAAGTGACCAACCAATATTCAAGTCAGCTTTTAGAAATGCCCATTTCACCCTTCAACTTTTGATGTGGAAGGTAAAATAGTAACTCAATCACGCTACATATACCTTAAATTTTACATTAAATTTGACATTCTTGTGAGATGATATTTTTTTTACATATTGATCTTCACAATGCTTTAAAAAATCAATAACACGAATTTTGACAACACTTGGAGTGTCAAACTTAACATATATCAAATGTGTACAACTACTTTTGTCCCACCTATAAAGCTGAAAGAGGTACGGAGTTCATGCGTCACTTATATGCACCAAAAATGGATCCTATGTATACTAGTGCGAACCCTTTAAGGGCAAAATTTGACTTTAGCATAGGGCCCAAATATTTTCTTACTTCATCAAGTTCGAAATTTTGCCCGTGTTTGGTGTAGCTAAATCATATTTTTATAAAAGGTTATAAAATGTTGAAAAGTTGATAAGAATTGTGAGTTTACTTGAAATATGTTGTTAAAATTAATTGTTAACTTTAACTTGAATTTTAATTAACTATTTAAGTTACATGATGTCACGCCCTAAAATTTAAAATAAACTAAGTATCCAGAGACACAACTTAAATAAACATAAGGGAAAATGCACTTTGTACATTTATTAATGGCTGTAAATCGTACAGCCCTATCACATGAATGTTGGGCCCCACATTCATATGAGGGGGCTGTAAAATTTACGGCCCTTAATAACTGTAAATGTAGTAGTTCTCTAAACATAAAGATATGCAATCAAACAAACAAGTCAACAGTATGATTAGACTACACGCAATTCACCCTTGTAATTTGTGAATGTACATTCAAACATAATTTACAATGATTTTGATGGATTAATTGCAGGAGTGCAAACAGCTGAGACAGAATTTAGTTCCGGGAAAGTTAAGGTTACAGGTACTATGGACGCAAACGAGCTCGTTGATTATGTCTACAAAAGCACTAGAAAACAAGCCAACATTGTACCAAAGCCTGAGGAGAAAAAAGAAGAAGAAAAGCCAGTTGAAGAAGCCAAACAAGACATAAAAAAGGAAGAAAAAACAGAGGAAAACAAAGAGGATCTCATTAAAGAAGGAGAAATGAATTTTAGTGATGAACAGTCGATGCATAAACTCATGCATTACTATCAGCCTTTTTATGTTATAGAAACAATTCCCTCCCCCCAGCTTTTTTCAGATGAAAATCCTAATGCTTGTTGCATTATATAATTATCAATAAAAATCATATGTGAATAATAATAAAATGATCTTGTTGGTACCACACGAACATGTGTTGCCCGAATTGCGTTCAAATGAACGTAAGAAATACTTGAATCCACCAGATAACGGAAAATTGAGATATTATTATTTAAAAAAATAAACGGCTATAGATTTTTCAAACCTTTAAATCATATTTAAAGCGTCAAAAAGAAACCCTAATTTGGCAAACAAATTCAAATAGAATTAGGAAACTGCCAAAAACGACGAAAATATTCTTAAACTCTAAACAGAAAAATGTTGAAATTGACCCCCTAAAAGATGGAATTTGACCTTGAAAATTTGACAATGTTGGCCAAAGGTCATGATCATCACCCAGCAAAATTGTAAAGAACTAAAAAATGCTTCCGAATAGTACTTGCTTGTTTAAATCTGACACTCAAACTAAAATTTACGCAAGTTTTTGTAGACCCTTTATTTTCTCTTCTAACTTTTTCGCATAATTAAACATTTTGTAGTTCATGTTTTATATTCCTTACATAAATATATAGAGTTTTTATCTATACGAATCATGGATGGAAAAGGTGTGTATAGGCCTAGGGGATACTTGACTCGCCTACCGTGAGGCAGCTCGTTCAACCAAAGTATGACTCATCGTGTAATTTATTATATTTTTTATTCAAAATGCATATTTTTCTAACATTGGCATCCCCCACAAGCTCAAATGGCAGTTCGATTTGCACCACTAGTGGGGTGAGCAATTTGCCCCACTTCCCACCACTACCTAGTCGCATCTTACAATAATTGTATTGAATCGGTCAAAGCTAAAGAGAAGTGCGACTCAGGTATTCTAGCCCAAAGAACGACCGTGTTTGAGCAGAACAAATATAGGGCCTGACTCTTAGGATTGCAAGTTAAGTCTGCAGCACAATTTCTGATACTAAGAATCCTCAAAAGAGGCAATAGCGGAACATACTTTTGTTACTGCTCATATTTTTGGCTTATCATAACAGTTAAAACTAATATTAATATGTTGGATCCCAGTGCGAAACAAAAAAGATTTAGAAACTCATGATCTTCAAGAAATTCAAGATTGTGTTTCTGATTTTTCGATAATCATATAATGGAAGAGGAGAGCCCTTTTTATAGAGGAAGATTTTCCTTCTACTTTTAGACCAATCGACAAAATAACATGGATCAATGCAATAATTAGACAAACGGACATACAACTTTCCAAAAGCATACAGAACTCTACTACAATTATTACACAAGTGGACACACAACTTTTGATAAAGTGGAATCTACTTTGATAAAACAAACAGTACTTTATCAATTATTTTATAAAACGACGGACAACTCATACAAAGTGACAAAGTTCTTAGATGTTAAGTGATCCTTGCGAATCATAGGGTGCCTAGATTTGTTGTCATAATTGGTTCGTCCGAATCTTCAGAGCCTGATGGTAGCCCTAGCGTTTTCCACCAAGACATGTTTTCCTTTTTCTCTCTTTCCTTTTCTTCATCGAGTTGTTGTTTAAGTTTTTCAAGATTGTCAAGGTCAAAAGGGTCAAAAGAGTAAGCCAATAGATCTTGAAACTCTTGGAATAAAGACTTTAGGAGTTGAGACATTGTAGGTTCTGCCTAGCTTGCTCTCTAGAACAAAGCTTTCTATTCAATTATAGATCCCTACCATTTGTATGATGAACTCATCCACTTTTAAAGTGTAATACATTTGATCAAAGTAATGGGATTTTGCGGAACTAAATTCACTTTAGTGGTAAGGGCTTGTCTCTTGTAAGGTTAGAAGTTCAAATCTCACTCACTCTGATATGATGTTGAGATGGTTAAAATTTTTGTGGACTTTGTTTCAAGATAAATAATATTATTTATATTAATTTCTCCTTTTATCTTGAAGTTTTGTACGTCTTGGTTGCAAAATACTTAATTGCACTAGATATTTGGATTATAAATTCATGTATCACACTCCAAATATGTTACGACTAAACTACTGTTGTGAAAATCAATGTTCGAAAAATTAGCTTGAGCATTTGACCTAAAAAATGTAAAGGGTTAAGGAATAAGTGGCCGAACCATTGTTAAATTGGTTATTGAAGTTTGTTAAAATATTCAAAATGTCCCACCTTAAAAAAAAATTCGTTAACAAAATTGAGAAATTTCACCAATTAAAATCGAAGAAATATGGAAAAACGTGTTTGACAATTACGCTTTTAACTGCAATGAACTCAACTTTGTTTACATATTAAACATCCCGTGTGTCCACATTGAGATTTAACATAGACATGTAGAGTTTTATGTTGACATTTCCAATCCATTACGACAACGCTTAGAAATTTGGTCGACTAACAAAATCATTTCAATGCCCATTTTGAAAATTTTAACAAACTTCATTGACTGTGTTATGTTTGTGACTCAAATTTCATGTGATTTGGAAGTTTGATTCATGGAGGAAGTTTAGATAGTTTTGGTTTAGAAGTTCGATTTGATAACTGTTAGGTTTTAGTTGATTTTGTAATTGGCAAATTCTGTGAACAGAATGACTTAAATTGATAAAGTGTAAAAATTCAAGGAGTAATGTGCAATTTTTTTAAAAGTTAGTTAAATAGGTCTAANTGCAATTTTTTTAAAAGTTAGTTAAATAGGTCTAAGGTTTCGAGTTTGGAACAAGGAGGAAAACGGCGCGAATTTTCGCTGGATTGTCGCCAAGGGTTGGCTCAAGCTACGAAAGCAGAAACATTGTCGCTAGATCATCGTCCCTCCTTCGCTCGAGCGACAGGCTGTCGCTCGACTATCGCGGCTCCTCCCTCAAGCGACAGCTTTATACGGGAAATTTTTATTTCGAGTTTTAAAGACTTTTTTCCTGACCCATATGCTTTCTACCCTACCTATAAATTTCAGAAGTCATTCTGTACGAAATTCTAAAGTTGATTATTGAGAGAAAAAGTCTAGACAGTGAATCCTCCACATTATTACTTTCAACCTTCATCTTGTGTGAGATCTTCTGAGAGAAAAACATCAGATCCAAATCCAATCATACTTCCTACATATCTGTCAGAGGTGCTGAAAATCAAGGAAGGCAATTGGGGTTCCAGTCTGTGAAGAACAGGTTGTTCTTCATGATCCACAAGAGATAGGCGATTTTACCAAGCTAGAGGTTGTTGCAGGATAGCGGAGTTCCATGATAGTGTTGGTTATTGCAGCTGGAATTGGTGCAGGGAAGCACAGAATTCAGGAGAGCTGTCAGAATTGCAGTCAGGAGATCAGATAGTTCGTGTCGTCGTCTAGTCTGGTAGACTGTAAGTACAGAATCGTTTATAGTGGATTGACTGACAAAGTGCCCGAAATTTTTCCTAGTTGAGTTTCTCCGTGAACAATTCTTGTGTTCTCTACTGCTTTATTATTTATTGTTTACGATATGCAAATTGCGGTAATTCAACATATGATAATTTGACTTGCATGATTAACCATCTATATGAGAATTAAAAGTGAGTTGTTGCTATTTAATTCTTGATTGATTTTAATTCCGCATAAAATACCTATTCACCCCCTCTAGGTATTATTAGGGTTGAACTTGCTTTTTTCAATAAGAGATCAAATTTCATCATAGATTGAAAATTTGATTGGGATAAGGAATTTGGAATGGATAAAAACTTTGGGATTAAGGACACTACTACATCCATAACTCCAATATTTGGCTCTTGTAAATACTCCACAAGATGTAGGCTCTTTAAAGATTTAAGATAACAATTAGATCATTATTGTATACATTAGAAATTTGAGAGAATTATTTAGATTTAGAATGAGAGAATTAAATTTTGTAAAGACAATTTTAATTTTTTGGTATAATAAATTATCTTCTTCTTCCGCAAAAATCTTGGTTGTTGTGTGATCCATTATTTTTCATATTGTTCATATTATTTTCGTTTTAATTATTTGGCCGATTCTCAACAAAGTGGTATTAGAGCGATTCTGTTATCTTAGTTAGTTCATAACAAGTGATATCAGAGTCAAGATTTTGGGGATTCTTAGGAGATCCAAATTGGTTATTAAAGCGAGGTTTGAACAATGTCGATTGTTTCAAGGATGACAAGTGTAAGATTTGAGATTTCGCTTTTAGATAGCAATAGTAGCTATTCTTTGTGGCAGATCAATATGCGAGCAGTTTTTGCTCAATTGGATCTTGATTATACTTTGTTGGGATAGATAGAATGCCCGCAACAATAATTGTGGAGGAGTAGCAATGGAATGATCGGAAAGTCCTATCACAGATACATCAGCATGATCGATGGGGGGCGCATAACCTAATGTTGCTAGGGATAGTTCTTCTAGACAGGGAGCCCGGTGGGTCGATCCAAGACTTAAGGCAAAGTGTTTTCTATGACTCAGCAGGAGGCAGATGAGTCACCAGATGTGGTCGTAGGTATGTTATCTATTTTTGGTAGAAATGCTCGTTGCTTAATTGATTCGGGTGCTACCCATTCCTTTATTTCTCATGTACTTGCTAGCTATGCTGATCAGATGTTAGAGTCTTTAGATAG